CACCGGTTGAAACATTTCTATGTGCTGTCTCATATATAGTCATTTACCCCGTAAGGACGTTTCAGTCAATGATGGACTGCAAATACAACGGCGGCCCGGGAAGATCATAACGGAGCTGAAAAATTCCTGTCTAGTTGACATTGTAGCCATCCTAACATCACAGTGCAACACATTACACATGTCTCTGTGGTGATGTAAACAAACCTACTGTGCTGCCAGTTGTATAAAAGTATAGCATATGCAATTATGTACATACAGAACAACCATGTTACTAGTTTATTGTATGTACTGCGCTATACTTTTTATCCTTATTTTAATGTAGTCCTTCTACTGAAAAAAAAGTTAACTGTAAGCCTCAGGCAGGTCGTTCAGGAGGTATTCCAGAAAAAGGCATTTTACCTCAGGGTATGACAGTTTCATGCATGGTCTTGCTCCTAAGGACAGTGGGACAAAACGTGGAGGTGGAAGACAGTGATATTGATCAGCGGTCCCGAACCTTTTTTGGCATCAGGGACCGATTTCATGGAAGACAGTTTTTCCACGGCCCCAGGGCGGAGGGGGGTGTTTAGGATGATTTAAATGCATTACATTTACTGTGCACTCAAACCTCTCTGCTAATGATAATCTGTATTTGCAGCTGCTCCCCAGCACTAGCATCACCACCTCGGCTCCACCTCGGATCAACCTCGGATCATTGGGCATTAGATGAGATGAGAAATAAGGAGCCCGCAACCTAGATCCCTCACATGCACAGTTTACAGTAGGGTTCGGGCTCCTAGACAATCTAATGCAACTGCTGATCTGGCAGGAGGTGGAGCTTATGTGGTGATGCAAGCAATGGGGAGCAGCTGTAAATACAGATTAAGCTTCACTCACTTGCCCCTGCTCACCTCCTGCTGGGCAGCCCAGTTATTAACAGGCAAAGGTTGGGGTTTGGGAACCACAGACATTGATGATCCTGACCCTGTGTAGGCCTGGGCTAATGTGTGTCTTAGTTTTTAACAAAAAGTTTAAAGAGTTTAAAGAGTAAAAATAAAAAAAATTTTAAGAATAAATCTTCTAGAATAAGGATATAAAGAAAGAAAATATTTTTGTACAGCTATACAAAGTGTGTTTTAAGTGTTATTACAAGGAGTCAAAAAGTTTAAAAAATTTCAAAGTTTATAAAGTTAAAAAAGTTACAGGAAGCTAAGATTAATTTATTACTGAAGAAAGGAAAACATTTTTATAAGTTTAGTGTAGCCTAAGTATACAGTGTTTATAAAGTCTACAGTACTGTAATATCCTAGGGGCCCTCACATTCACTCATTGACTAGCCAGAGCAACTTCTAATGCTGCAAGCTCCATTCACGGTAAGTGCCTATACAGGTGCACCATTTATCCTTCATACTGTATTTTTACTGTATCTTTTCTATTTAGACATGTTTAGATACACAAATAATTATCATCGTGCTACAATCTGCCTCCAGTATTCAGTACAGTCATGCATTATATAGGTTTGTAGCCTAGGAACAATAGGCTATGCCATATAGCCTAAATGCATAGTAAGCTATAACCATCTAGGTTTGTGTAAATAAACTTTTTTTTTGTCATCCAGGCTGGAGGTGCAGTTGCTCATCGCAGCCTCGAACTCCTCAGCTCAAGCGATCCTCCTTCCTCAGCCTCCCAAGCAGGTGGGATTACAGGCACGCACCACTATGCCCAGTGAATTTAAAAAAAAATTTTGTAGAGATGGGGTCTCGCTATGTTGCCCAAGCTGGTCTCAAACTCCTGGGCTCAAGTGATCCTCCTACATTGTCCTGCCAAAGTACTAGTATTAAGGTGTAAGCCACGGTGCACCCGGCCTTGTGTAAGCATACTCTATGTTTGCACAACGACAAAATCATGTAACAGTGCAGTTCTCTTAGAACTATCCCTGTCATCAAGTGACACATGACTGTACTTACGCTTAGGAAGCAGGTATTACTGTCTCCTATTTATATGTGAGAAAAGTGAGGATCGAGGGTATAAAAGTAGCCCAAGCCAACTACCTAACATAAGTAACAACTGGGATTCAAATTCAGGTCTGACTCCAAAGTCTTATCATTTTCTATCATATCATGACTTTTTTTCTACTGTTATCATTCTGTCTCCTTCTAATTTTCCCTTTTTTCCCTCTTCAAATTGACTGTTTTTTTTTATTACAGTAATTACTGGATTGCTTATCATCCACCTAAAGTTTATAATTCGAGGCTTTAATTTCCTATTAGCAATTGTGACACTGGGGTTAAGGTGTCAGATGTGGGGCTGCTTTGCTCAGAATCTTCTACTGTGTTGGGATTATTTAACTGCTATTAGGGCATAATCAATGTTCTGCTGTCCATAGGAGGGTCTAACATAAAAGTACCCATGTATCAGTCAAATCAATCTAAGCTCTAGCATTCACAGCTCTCTTCCCTTAACAGGTACGGTTTTCTGGTCACAGCTGGAACTCTGCTTATTTGTATGTAGTGGGGCAAGGTTAATAGCCACAAAAGTAGTAGCCTAAATCTTCCCTGCAGTAAGACCAAAAAAGGTGTCTTGGCTATTCCTATTGCATTTAGACAGACATCTACCCTGTCAATCTGTCCTGGGTAGAATAAAATGGAAAATAAATGATCCAAATTGATTTCTTATTTCCAGCATCTCAGGATACAGATATAAGGCTATCTTATTCCAAGAAATTCTGTATCACCACTGACATATTTTCCCAGTTTAAAAAAAAATAATTGATTCTCTCCTCTGAATCTATCAATTTCTAAAATCAACCATCTATTTTGTTCTTTCACTCCATACTAATAGCTTCACTTTATGTCTGACCTCCTTTCATAAAACATCATCATTGTAATTTCTCCTGTGTTTTCTCTGATGATTTGATTATTCACTCCATGCCCCTCATAACTCCTGTTTATAACTTTGTAGCCCTATCAAAGTTAGTTTCACTGTTCATTCCAGATAGGCACTGAGCCAATATATTGCCAATAACACTCACTCTTGAGCTAACTTAAAATACACAGTGCAACTTGCCAAGTTTCCTTATTTGGCAAGAAGGCCCCTTAGTTCCCAAGATCTTTGACCATCCATTTTTAGATCCAAATCCTCGTGCTTAATATTTGGATTTTTCTGTCTTTCTCTCCCCTCCCTCTTAATGTGTCCTTATGTCTTCCCTAAAAGAACAAGAAAAAGAGACCAATCATCTCTATTTGCTTTCCTAGACAAGAAAAAAGTGTCCTTGCAATTGCATTAGGTCATTTACTCTGGAATTATTACCACTAAAACTTTTGATTTAAACAACAATATCGTGCAGTTTTAAAAAATGCCCAAATAATCACAAAAAGTTATAGTAGGAATTAAATTGTGAAAGATTAAAATAAACAGTGCACGCTGCTCCAAAAGACCATTTTTCTTTATCTTAATTCTCTCTTTCCAAACAAACTAAATTCCTGTTCATTTACAATCTCCCAAATCTCTCACTATTGTACCAGGAATTTAAAATAAAGACTCTACAAACGACCAAAACCATCATTAAAATTCTGCCATCACATACTTTTTTGAAAAATCCAAAAAAAGACATGAAATCTCATTGTGGAGAGGGGCCTACTACAAAGAAGACATTAACTGGCCTTGAATCACTTGTTTATTTCTGTCTTTAAACATGTTTGCAGATTTGGATCCACTAAATTCTGGCTTTTCACTTTAACAAAGGTCAGGGAAGCAAGAGGGCTTTCCTAAAACAGCTTCAGGATTAAAGAAAGAATACACTTTGGAATCAACCGATGAGCACACATGCGCACAGAGGGAAGTAAATTTCAGTGGAAATCAACCAGGGGAGAAGGGGAGCAGGGGAGGGACAAAAACCTACCTAACTACGAACACTATTTAGGTGACCAGCACACCTTTAGCCAGGACTCAAACATTACAAAAGTGATCCATGTAACCTAAAACATTTGTACCCCCTTAATATCTTGAAATTTTAAAAAAAGAACATTTACAAACGTTGAGCTATAATACTCAGAAATACATATAACACTTTAATAACAACCTCAACTCAAATATCCTCAACTTTATTCCGTAAAATGATTCTCATACACCATTAATGAGAGCTGCTTATTGTAATAACGTTGAAATGGGCCCCTAAATGGTGTTGCTTTCATTATTAAAGAAACTAACAAAAATAGTAATTAAGTTCCCCATAAACAGTGCTTAGGCGCGATCTCAAGGCGCATCACAAACATACATTTTTGGCAATCTAACAAAGATGCCCCCCTTTTTTTCCCAGCAATTTGATGTCACTTTGCCAATTCTGAGTTTAAGTTTTTCTGAAAGCTGTCACGAGCAAGCCGGCGAGGCGGCGGCCTGTGCATGCACCTCTGGGCCTGGCGCGGTTCTCGGAGCCCGTGGCAGGACGGGGAAAGCCGGGGAGCCGGCGCGCCCCGCAGCCCAGGCGCGCCGCAGGAAGGGCAGGGAGCATCGCTCCGGGCGGCCGAGTGCTGCAGAAAAGCAGAAGTTAGTAGCTCTCCTCGCACGCACAGATCTCTGCCGGAAAGTGGCCTGCACCCTGCCCTCATTTGGGAGACTCGCTTTCCGACTCCCGAGAGTGCCCCAGTCACCCACTGCGAGGCCGCGGGGCCCGGCCCAGGGGACGCCCCCGGCCCAAGCCGCACGCCCAGAGCAGCCACAGCCCGAGGCGCTCCGGCCTGCGCCCCGCTCCTCCGAGCTCCAACTTCTCCGTGGGACGGGCCCGAACTTTCGCGAACCGCACTTGGCCGCGCCGCGGCTAAGGTCCGGCGCGGATTCCGCGGGCGCCGGGAACGCTCGTTCCGGCTTCCGCCACCGCGCGTAGGGCCCCCTCCCCAGGCCGGGTGGACTCCCGGCCCCGGCCCCGGCCCCGGCAGGGCCTCAAGCCCTAGACGCCGGGACGACTCGCGAGCGCGGCGGGCCTTGCCTCCTTCCTCCCTTCGCAGCCTCCAGCCTGGCCCTACCTGGCTCCCGCGCCGGGCGCGAGCGGCAGCCGGGGGCGCCGAAGCCCCGCACACAAGGAGGGCGGCGGCGGCGGCGGCGGGGGGTCGCGAGGACAGCGGCCGGCGCGGCTCCCACGCTTCCGCCCGAGTCAGGAGTTGAACATTCCGCCTCTCCGCGCGGCGCCAATGAGGAAGACAGTCGCGGCAACAGCACCACCTATCTCCCAGCGCGGAACGGCCGGGCCTTCTGCCCTCGCCCGGTACCCCCGCTGTCCGGACGCCGCTCAGACGCGCCCGCGAGCATGGCGTGGGGAAAGCGCTCGGGCTTCCCGGCCTGCGCCTCGGCGGACCAGCGCCCTGGAACCCCCCGAGGCCGGGGGCGCTGGGCTGGGCGCGCCTGCCCTCCACGCACCTGCCCTGTCGTGGGGGGAGGAAGGAATGCTGCGGGGTGGGGGGTGTCCCCCTTACCCCCAGTACCTTAACATCTTTTTGACAAGTTAACGCCACCTATTCCTTCAGCTCTGTCCTCATCAACAAACATAGGCGCTGGGGATACAAAGTAAGGAGTTAATTCTCTGGTTGCAAAGGGGACACACATGTAAAGAGATTTCAGAGGAGATAGGGATAAAGGCTTCCTCGGTGGAATGCTCAGTAAGAACCTGATTTTGAGCAAGGGTGATGGTCTGCTGCTCTGGTTGGCGAGTATAACGGAGCCAAATTCAGATGAGCAAACTAGAATCTATTGCAGGTGTAAGCAAAAGGTGGAAATGGGCGTTGGGAAGAAAAGAAATTGTTGATTGGGGAAGATGGATCAGTGGAAGAAAAGTGAGACGAAGTTCCAAGGGTATGGGCAACATTATCCAGGGTTTTGAATTTGAGTTTTACTACCCATTACTGGGGAACTGTGGAAAGTTAGACTAAAGACATTTAGACCAGTTCACAGTGGTTGCAGGCTGGGTTGCTAGGATGCAATCAGGATAAGTGGTAGATACAGTCACTACTTGCCTATGGAATCATGAGGACCTGAGTTAGAGTATTCAAAATAGAATTTAAAAAAAGAAATGGAATTGAGAGACATGTTTTAGGGAGAAGCCACAGAAATTGGTGGCCCACTAGATTTGGAAGAGAAGAAGAAAGAGAGATGATACCAAGATTTCAGACCTGGGTGACTAGAAGAATGATGGTGTCATTGACAGAAATAGGAATATGTAGAGGAGAAGCTGGCTTCATGTTGAGTATGAGGTCATGGGAGGAAAAACAGGTAGAGATGCAGCAGATGAAATATGAAACTGCAATTCAGAAAAGAGGTCAAGAGGGAAATAGAAAATTTGTAAATCATTCAATAGGTTATAGATATGAAAGTGAAGGGGTGGGGGAATATAGGTTAAAACACAACTTTCTAGTCTGTTATTCAGATTATTTAATTTTCCTTTTGATAAGGACTAGGGATTTTAGTGTTAATAAACTCAATTTTGGTAACTGAGAATTTAGAATTGATGAAAATTGTCATGCTAAAAAAATTCATAATGTAGGTAATCAAATAATTCTAAAAACTATCTGACCATTAAAGGAAAAACTAAGGCTCTTTAGCATAGACCCAGACATGAGGAGACTCTGGTCATTTTGCCTTTCCTTCAAAGGCAATTAATTGTGATGGAAAGGACACTAGACCTGAAGTCATAGAACCAACCAGTTATCAGTGGGGGCACTTTGCTGGATAGGCCCTCAGTTTCCTCCTTTGCAAACTAAGAGGGCCTAATTAGATAGATGTTAGTTATAGGTTCCAGCTTGCTTGCTCTTTCTCTTTCTTTCTTTCTTTCTTTCCTTCTTTTATTCTTTCTTTCCTTCTTTCTTTCTCTCTCTTTTCTTTCTTTCTTTCTCTTTCTTTAATTTTTAGACTGGTCAAGTGCAGTAGTGAGAAGGGGGAAAGTAGTAGAACAAAGAGTTCAGTCCCTAACTGACTGTGAACAATCAAGTGAGATAATTCACTACCTTTGGACCTGGTTCCAGCTTTAAAACTATGACTATATTGCTTTAAATTTGGAGGACATGGCTTAAGAGCTTTAATATTTTTAGCCACATTGCCCTCCCATCCCATCCATTTTTCCTTCATTCTATTTTCCTCATATAATTAGGCTAAGCGAATAACCAGCAGGAACAATGAATACTAAAGATTAGCCTTACAAATATACTTAAATGATAATCTGGTAGAAATTCTCTTGCCTTCCCAAGTAGGTTGCAAACTCCTTGTGGTCATATCTTATGTTCTGTTGTATCTGTGGGTGTATTGTCCATGACTAAAATAAATACATAGCAATTGTGTGATAAACTGATTGCCTCAAGTCTGATTTTTCTTTCATCAAACTGCCTGTTTCCTTATGACTATATTGATCTCTTTAGGCCCCAGACCTAATAGTCTAGTGAGTACTCGCATCACTGACTCTGCTTTTTTGAACTTTCAAATCTCTTTGAAAATTTATTCTCACCAGGCAGGGTCCAGGTTCACTAATGTAAATAGCAATAATAAAAGAGACCTACTCAACCCTCTCTTATCAAACCTTCCTATTCCTTTACTTCAAATGTTTCCACACTAAAAATAGATGTACTCTCAGCAGTGGGGTGGCTTCAAAGTTCTTAGCACCCTCTTATATCGAAGAACACCCTCCAAAATAAACATGCAATCTAAGCAAAAAAGAGTGCATTTGCAATGTAACGAAAAAGTTTCCTGACCCCCACCCTCACCCCCATTCAATGGGATTGCTTCCCTTAAGCTCCTTTAAATAGAAATTCTGGAACTGCCACCAGCTATCAGTGGATCAGAGAAATACAGACATAAATTCCACTAATGACAGAAGGAAAGGTAATTTAAAAGGAAGAAAGTAGTCTTTATCCTTCCCTCTCATACTGATAAGAGCTGTGGTGCAAGCAACCACCCAGGGGCATTTTCTCTAGCCATCTCAGTTCTCCATCTGAGATTGTGAATAGTCTATGTCTGACTCATAGCTAAGAATTAACCAACTTTTATACAAAGGTTGGAGCTTTACCTCCTGTATGACTCTGAGTCCCTGGGAAATAAAGTTACCTTAAAATCATAAATAAAGTTTACGTCATTATTTGAGCTTAGTTTTCACATTCAACTTGAGGATCAAAGAGATTCACAAGAATATTTAACAGCAAATTCATTTAGGTGCCCTGGGACATGAAAGGAACAGTGAGATAAGAACAGATATTGGGGACCTTTGCAAAATTTATTCAATGAGCATTCACTGTCAGGCACTATGCTGAGCTTTGTGATTATAACAGTGAACAAGAATAGTCACTTCTCTCACAGAGTTTTCAGGGTGCAATGGAAGAGCCAGCAAAGACACAAGCAATTACACAGTAGTGTACTCTTAAGGGAGCAAAGATGGCAGCTTACAGCAGGCACCTAGCACAGTTTTTGTGGGGTCAATGAAGGCTTTCAAGTCAAAGAACCTCTAAGTTGATACAGAAGAATGAAGAGGATTTGCTGAACAAAAGAGGGAAAGGTATTCCATTCAAAGGAAACAGCAAGTACAAAGACCTAAGAGAATGTAGCAAGTTCAAGGAATAAATTCTTTAGATATCTGAGTAAAGACATTGCCAAGAGGGAGTAATAGTCTTTATGGTGGTATTAATAGTAGTAGCAGTACCAACAATAATAGAGATGGTTAATATTTAATGAGTACTCATGTGCCATGCACCAAGCTAAGAGTTTTACACAGACTCCCTCCAACTAGTTTTCACAGTAACCCTACCAGGTAGTTGAAATCATCATCCCATGAAGGAAAAAGTCTTGGAAAGCTTAGGCAGCTTGCCTTCCCTCAGGGAACAAAAGGTAGATTTTAGGGCTTCCTCTTTTAGATCAAGCAGTCCTCCAACTTTTTGATCTTAGGACTCCTTTACACTCTAAAAAAAAAAAAGTCAATAAAGATGCCAAATAGCTTTTGTTTGTGTGTGTTGTATCTATCAATATTTATCATATTAGAAAATAGAACTAAAATAATTTACTTATGTAATTCATTTAAAAATAACAGTAAACCTACTTATGTTAACATAAGTAACATATTTTAGTGAAAAATGGCTATTGTCTAAAATTTTTAAAAAATTAGAAGAATATCCTTGTTTTACATTTTTGCAAATTTCTTTAATGTCTGGCTTAATAGACAACAGCTGGATTCTCATATCTGCTTCTGTTATTTCATCTATTCCAATATCATACTGCATATATCCTCTGGGAAATTCTGCCATACACTCATGAGAAAGTACAATGAAAATAATGTCTTAGTATTTTTATGAAAAGAGTTTTGACCTTGCAGATGCCCCAAAAGGAGGAATCTAGAGAAGCTCCTTGAGCTGGAGGGAGTCGGTGGCCTTGTGCTCTGCCTCAAGACACAGTATAAAGGGGCAGCTGCATGGAGTAGGGGAGAGAGCACTTTGCTAAATGTCAGAAAACCCAGAATGTGGTGCCAGCCCTATCCCTAAGCAACTGTCCCTTAGTTGGGACCATACTGCCTGACGGTCATGTGGGATGATAAAGGCCTAACTATCTGAGTCTTAAGTCCTATTTACTGCTCACTCTTTACTGTTATTTGCCATGTGACTCTTCTTTAAAATCCTAGATCTAAAATTTGACTGCATCATAACTGAGTTTGTCACACCCTTTCAGCATTGAGCCTTGCCATCCTTTCTGTTCACTCTTAGCCCTACTTTCTTGCAAGAAACTCATGCTCCTTCCCAAAAGATTTGACAGTTGATGCGATTTTCTGGCAGAATCCTACAGTTATTTATTGTTAAATGGTATTATTAAGTAAAGGGCTGGTAATGACTTTGAATGTAAACACTAGAAACCAGCATGGGTTCATTGAAATCAAGATATGCCCAGTTTTCACTACTGGAATCAGGAAGGACAGTTTGGATCTGATTTCAGTGAAACATTTGACAGAGTTTCTCAGGGTGGCTTTAGAAATCAGGAGATTTTAACTGATGACAATACAACACAGTGAATTGCTATTAGATTGAAAACTGAGCCACAAGTGCTGATGAATGGATCCGTGGTCCCGTGGAGAAAGGTTTCCAATGGCGTATTGCAGGGCTCTGTCCTTTATCCTGCCCTATTCTACATTTCAGCAACTTGGATGAAGACCTATGTGGCACGCATATCTAACTAAGGACTAACATGA